CAGTAGTCAAATTAAAATTATGTCCTCGGTCCCTGCTGGGTGTTTAGTGCAACACGCATTTATTCGATTTCATCATGATGGCTCCTAGTATATATTCCATTGAAAGGCTAAGTTACAGACAAAAATTAAGAAATTTGAGTCATTTACAGAATATCATTGCAATATTTTCATGAAGATGAACTGAAATTAACAGAGTAAAGCGGCCAAAGCCATCCAAAGGTTTCCTGCCACCACAGTTATTGACACCCAAGATATTGCAGACATATAATTAAGGATGAGTTTAGCAGCTGTGACTTAATATTGCAGAAAAAATCAAAACCCTGACTCCAAAAGATCAGTTCAATATACAGTCACTACAGTACGTGGTGAAATGACTGCATAGAAAGGTTTGTAGGAAACCATTAGACAACAATGTCCAACCATTTGAACCACCTTATAGCATCACATCTATGAAAAATATGGGATAATCCAATTAAAGTCTCATTGCAGAAGACTCCCAGGGAACCTTATAAAATGTTTATTAGAGAAAAATTTTGTATAGTATCAAGGTTAACCTTTTTTAAAACTGAATTTAGACTGAAATAGTGGGAAATGGACAATAAGTGCTGCAAATCAGTTCTTCCAAAACAAATCAGTCAAGATACATCATAGTTAATGGGTATTTCTGATGAAACCCTAATGAGCTATTAAATTAATGGTACTTCCCTTGCACAAATATTGTCTTTGGGCTCAAGTGCCATATTCCTTGAAGAATAAAATGAAGAAAATGAAATGTGGTCCAATTACACGTAGTACCTTGCAATTTCACCCTAATGCAATCCTGTGTTAGGGTTGAATGTCAAAAATTTCAAATTGTGAGACAATGTCGAAATTCATGTTTTCTACATCCAATTTGACATTTTGCATTTCTGCACAGGTTGAATTGCAAGGTAGGGGTTGAACTGCAAGTTGAAATTCCAGCAAATTTGACTGTCCAATTGCAGGATGAAAAATTGTGAGGTACCACTTGTACTGTCTGTTATTCAAAAGAGTGATCAAAAATAAATAAATAAGGAGGTACTGTGTCAACCCACCTTGTGCAGTTGGGCACACAGGTCCTCAGCTGCACTGCGCAGACTGCAGACATCAGCCTTGAGCTGATCACACTCCTTCTTCCAGCCCTGGGCAGTCTTGGCCCCACACTCCTCCACCTCCAGCATCTTGGTCTTCATGCACTCAATGCAGGCCTTCATCTGCTGGTTCTCAGACTTCAACTGACGCATGTGGTCCTCAGCCTTGGCCAGGTCCTGGCGCATCTGCTGCACCTCAGCCAGCCGAGTCTGCATCTTGCCTGTCACAGACTCCAGGGCGCGGGCTGCCTCTCCAATGGCCTGAGTGGAGTCCTGCTTGGACTCCAGCTCCCTAACCTGTTTTTGTTGCATGTTGCAATGCAGTAACATCTCATTACAACAAACATCCCTCAGAAAAAAATTTGTTCCATCAATAAGATTCCTGGTTTTTTAAATACGTCTAATGCTGAAATTTTTTAGGAAATTGGGCAAGGAATACTTTCAAGTGCTTCCTAAACAGATAAATAGAAACCTATCATAATAATTGACCAGTGTTCCTGATGAAATGAAGAGGAACTCTTGATAAAACTGAGTATGTTTCTTTCATTAAACCAGCCTTTGTACTAAAGTGTTGCTGGTCTTGAAAACTGAAACTTGAAAAATTAAATGGGGTAAAGAATTACTGTACTTCTTCTGAATCCACTTATTCACTGATAGCTTTCTGCTCTTTCAAATAGGGGAACATTTTTCCAACACACGGTATATTTAAAAGACAGGCACACATCTTCTAATGGAGATAAATAATTTCCAAGATATATGTCATGTTGTTTATTTTTTTAGCACTATGTTTTCTCAGCAGAAAGTTCTCTTCTGTCATGAAATGCTAATGCTGTTTTTCCAGTCATTTATTGAATAATCCCTGGGGCTTATATGCACAGAATAATAGCCTTTTTACGTTAAAGACTAAAATTAGTTGGTTGAAACTAGATCTGTATAACAGCACGTGTATTGGAAACAACTAGGAGCAAGGAAAAAATGTAAAGCAGACATTTGTTGAAATGAGATTCTTTGTGTATGGGATATACACTGAAATTTTGTTACACTGTTTTTGTCAGCAAGATGAGAGACTGACTAATATTTTGAAGGCTTGAATTTTGAAACTTTTCTTCCACAGTAATTTTTTTGTCTGCCAAAATTATGATAAAACTTTGCTGGCCCACCTTGTGCAATAATTTGCACTCAGTAATTGCCATGTACTGTGATTATCAATAGGACGGTATTGCTATTTTCTTTTCTTATTGTCATCTAAGAAAACTAGGGAATTATACATCTAATAAAAATTCATGCATTTGGATGCTCTTTGATGTACTTTCCTTTTAATCTTGATATATTAATTCTTCTCTTTATTTTCAGTTTTTTTTAATCACGTGTATGGAGAGGGAGAGGGGGATTTTGAATGATTTGGAGTATGGGAGTTTAAAAAAATTAAATATTTGAACCTTGTGATTTCTGACAAATGACATATAGAGCCTTTCTCTTTTATCTATCTATGCACCACAGTATCAATCTTGCTGGTCAATAGAACATTCTTTGAACATTCGCAGCAGGTCCGCGGGCCCACAAGGGTGGCTGGCAAACAGAAATGATTGGTGCATGTCACCCTACCTTGGCCTCCAGGTGGTGCTCCTGCTTGCAAGCCAGCTCAGCGCGCTCCTTGAGAATGCGGTCCTGGTCCAGCACTTGGAGTTCCAGCTTGTGGATCATGGCCTGCACCTCCTTCAGCTGCGTGGACAGACTGTGAAACACAGGCAGCTGGGACTCGGCCAGGGACAACGGGCCGCCAGTGGACCGAGAAACACACTCGGCAAAGGCCTGATGGTGGCGTCCAAGCATCAACACAGCCGATGCCGGAGACGCATTGTTGTCATCAGCGTCTGCATCCTGCTGCACAGGGCTGCTGCTGTTGTTGTTGTTGTTGTTGGCCTCACTGGTGGACTTCTGCAGCCTGCTGCTTGACTTATTATTATTATTGGCAGCACCGAGGATGAGGCTGGATGACAACAATGAAGCAGAGGTGGTTGAAGGACAGCTGGCCTTGCCGGTGGGGCTGCCAGCGTCCGCAGCAGGAGAAGCTGACCCAACGTCGTCAGATGGAGAACAAGACTTGCACGATGGTCCTCCACTGATCCATTATTCCACCGCAACATACACAGTTTAAAAAAGAGCATTTAAATATTCTCACAGAGATCCTTCAATGCAAAATACACTTTTGAATGCATTTTTCAGACTGAGACTGGGATTATGGATAAAAAGGGGTTTCTGATATTAAAAAAAGTTTTGTATGCATAAATGTCATCTAAATTTGAATTGAAATTTATTGTCAATTTTGTTATCTCTAGTGACACTTGAAACCCAATTTGGATGGGACACAACATACTATGTTGCAAAAAACAAAGAAAAAAGGAAGACATACAGTATGCTTTTACTTTGCATTGCTGTTAACCAGAGTAACTCAAATGGAGCAACATTAGACTAGAGAGGACTTTAGGTGCTTTGTCGATAGCAAGTTCATGATAATGATGTTCATATGACTACAAATATTTTTTTTCGATTGCAGAAAAGAAAAGAGAATCAAAGGGAATAAATGAGTTGAGGTTTGCTTTTTCTTTTGTTCAAATTGTTTGATATAAGATGTTACTTCAATTTCATACCAATTAATTTACAATGTGATCTTGAAGAAAAAAAAGCAATATCACTAGGTGCACATCCTGGAATGAATTAACGTTGTTTTAGGACACAGTGTTCATCAACAGAAAAAAAATGATCAGCTTGTCAGCTATGCACGCTTGAGCAACAAAGTTGTCAGTCCATAAAAGCTGCATTTTGAATAGTTTTCCATGAACTGGGGTGTGGAAACTTCAATATCTACAGAATAACAGCAGTGACAAAGGACGCAAAAAACTACCCATTTGGCACATGAAAGAATCAGAACACAAAAAGAACAAGTAAAAAAATACTGTGCAGTACATAAGTCATGAGAACAACTGTATACAACCATGAATGTAAAATAAGCCTCTTTTGAAATAGCAATTGACTTACTGTGCATTTTTGAGAATACTGTACAAATTTTGCACTATTCTGTGTGGAAACGACTCATTTTGTTCAAGGGACGTAAACATTTAAAGGAAATTAAATTATTAAATTATTTGCGGAAGTCATAGTAAAATTTTCATTATCTCCAGACAACATATTCAGTTTTGGGGGCACATTTTCGGATTCTAAAGTCGTCGGTAAGTCGAATCACCCCAAAAAGTATTTAGTCAGCATGTCGGGACTTCAATTTTTTCTTTTGCAAGCACAGTATATACATGAATGTACAGTTTATTCAGGAAATCACTCACGTGAGGCATCGGCAGATGTAGCTGAGTGGTCTCATATTGTTCACAATTCTTCAAGAAGACGAGGATCCAGGAACGATTTTCAACAGAAAAAATACTTGAAAGATGAATCCAAAAGAATTCCAGAGAGTGACATCAAATACTTTTCTTTGAGCGTATTGGCAATAGCCTGGCTTTGATCGTCGTCTGATGAACTGCTGAATTTCTGCAACGTCGATTGTGTTGCAATTTCTCACTGTTGGTGATGTCAGGCGTTTTTCATTTGATGATGAAACTGCTGCTTCAGGCATTCATGCGATTCCATCAATTTCAGCCTAATCCTTTCAACTGCAGTGCTTTTAAACCGACGGCGAAATAAGAAACTGATGAAGGGGGAGTAATTAAGAGGTATTAATAACAGAGATGAATGATTAATAATTAACGCTGTAATTAAAACGCTGAACTTGTTCACTAACTTCTATGTGAGCGCTTCGGGATGAAAAGAGACCTTAATCATTCCATTTAAAAATATCAGGAAATGGATGCAAAATCTGCATTCACCATTCACCACTTTGGTTAAGTTCAAACCTGCAAGGCATATTCATGATCAACAGCCCTGGCATTATTGGACATTCTTTGTGGGAATGAATGTTTGGAATTGAAAGATTGAATCACTAGATCAATGAAGAAAACAATGATCAGTTGAGTGACAGTGCTGACACCCTAGAGTAAGGTTGGTAAATTTGACAAAGGAACAAGGATTTGAAAACCTAATTAGATTTCAACAAGAGTTTCAACATCTTTTGTGTGAGACTGCCAAGAAGCAACTGATGATGTAAATAGAAATGAATTGAGTATTTCAAACCTCTTCCTCATCCCAGGAAATCCACAAAGATACAGGAAAACCCTCCTGGAAACTCTAAGTTGAACTTTTTCTCATGAAATTCCTGACAGATTAGACTATTCTGAACAGTCTCTTGATTAATCCTTCTTTGAGTAAACATTCTTCCATTGCTTTATTGTCTCATTTAATTTTTCTCATTTCCAACAAAAAATCCCCCCTTTGTTTTATAACAAGAAGGCAATATTATGTTTGATTCATAGAAACAAAGGAACTTAGTTACAAGGAACCAAACCAGAAGATAGAATTTCCAACAAACTCAAGCTTAACCTAGAAAATTTGAAAGAAACCTTGAACCAAAAGCATTTCAATCCAAAAAACTTGACAAGCAACAAGGAAGCAAAGTCATGAACAAAAGTGAAACAAGCAATAAATTGCACTAAACAAAGTCATTATGTTCAACTATCAACTGTGCAGCAATTCCAGCTCTTTGGAATTGCTTTTTCACAATTTTTCCGTGAGTGACGTCTTTTTCCAAGGCATGTGCCTCATCACCTGTGTGATCAGGACAGGGGATGCGCACATGCCTGGAAGGAATGCATCAAACCTTCAAACATTTTCATCATTGATTTGATGATTGATTTTTGATTGATTGATTTTTTTTTGAGTGATGGTGTCCATTAAAGTTGGCTGGGAGCGGTGTAAGCTTCCCTGCGCATGTGGGGTGGAAACTTTTTCCCCCAATATTTGGTATTGACCAAAGCACATGCTATCTATGGCTAAGGGAGGAATGATCTCCGTTGGGCTCGGTATTGACCGATACCATAGATTTTAATGATTGGTGTGCTTGCTAGGAGGGGAGTCAACTCCTCACACAGTTTTGCAAAATGTGTCTTGTCCGCCCAGAGGGATGAGCAACTCTGGGACTGGTTTATGATGAAAAACCGATCACTACGTGTGGGGAGGAATGCATCTCGCCAATTGGTATTTGACCGAACACGTCTTCACGTACAAGGGAGGAATGACCTCTCCTTGATTGGTTTGTCAGGCCGATTCCATGGACAAGCGAGCTGGGGAATGACCTCAGCTCTTGCCCTTTTTTATTTTTGTTTGATGGGCGTCATATGTCACGGGCTACTGAGCCTCAGTGACAAAGATTAATGTTTCGGTTCAGTTGAATCAAATTATAAAATGATGTAGTCTCAATTGGCCGTTTGCGGCCTGAGGTAAATGCCTCAACTCCTTGAGTATGTTCTTCAAATTTCCAACAACAAATTTCCAAGATGATTTTCAGCACACACAGAAATACGCAGTCTGTTCTCTCTGGAGCTCAGATGATAAGTGACCAAAATTCCACACTGAAAGGAGCAGGCTCAGGTCCTCCTCTGGTGGAAAGTTTCCTCAAGGCTTTCTGCCAGTGTGTCCAATTGTTATTTGTTCAATTCTCATGATTATGTTGACTCACAAGAGTGGAATAAGTCTTGGAGATCATTATCTCCAAGGCTATCCCTGGTGTGGTTACGTTTCCAAGGAATCTTGTTTTCTTAAAGATAAAAATGATAAAATAATAATTTATTAATACTTACTCTCACAAGAGTGGAATAAGTCTTGGAGATCATTATCTCCAACGCTATCCCTGGTGTGGTTAGGTTTCCAAGGAATCTTGTTTTCTTAAAGATAAAAATAATAAAATAATAATTTATTAATACTTACTCCTTTTTCAGGAATACTTTTTCCGAGTTACGAGGATGACGCAGCGTTTCGTACGCCGCGTCGTACTCTCGTACATTCTGTTGTTGTGCCGACTCAGGCGGCACCTGGTTTTCCCGAGTTAATTGGGGCATGCATGGGCGACATCTAGTCGACCTGTGACAATATTCCCCGGCATCATATTAAATTTTTCGTGACATAAACGTATAGAATACTACTGTACTTGGAAAGTAAATTAAATGGACTTTATATGAAGTTAGAGGTTATTTAAGTTATATTGCGACAGGGACGTTGTGAAAAAAAAATTTCCCAAAGTTACTGCTTATCTTCAAACGGATGCAGAAAATCCATCTGGTATATCAATGGCTTGATTTGTCCCGAATTGAGTGTCAACAACAACTAAAATATACAAATTGGAAGTTTTTGATATTATTGACCACAATATGCGTATGAAATGAATAGGATACACCATTTGAAAGATGGTTCATAGTATTTGTTACTGAACTTCTTTGATTAGAAATTTAACTTGGTAGTATTCAGATTTTTTTAGTGAGCCAGCAGCAGTTTGAATGAACGTACTTCTCTTCACGTTGGTATCATTTTTAGATACACGTGTTATACTGTAATAGAATGGTCACAGCACCATAAATCTGCGGATGAAAATATAAGCGGAAACTATTCAAGACCCATTTCATTTTGAGGCGTCAATATACTTCCCATAATTTCAGAGTTTCGAAGTTTCCAAAGAACAAAAATCGGTCTGAACTTCGCTGGTTCACCCTGATGTGTGTCAAGGTTCCAATTTAGGCTTCCTCCTCCTCTCGTTTTCTGCCAACTTAATTCTCGGGAATGACAGACCTGCCGTGATTTACTGCTGTATTCTTAACGACATTCCCTTATTTCAGATTACGCTCTACTACCGGCGAAAGTTCCTCTCGATATGTGCCAGATGTCGCCGGATTTCTTGAATCTGGCATCGGATCGAAGAAGTCTAATGTGTCTCCGATACAGGAAGGAGCCTGCAATCCCTCTCAGCCATGCGGAACAACCCCAGTAAAGAAAGCAACGTTAGGAAATCCCAGCGCTTTGGTGTTGACGACGATTGCTGAACTCAGTTCGGAGGACACCGTCAATGAGACTGCTACTGCTGCGAGAACCCCGAAACAGTGAAGGAAAATGCATTCTCAAAACAAAATATAATCGTTTATAATTTATGTTTTGGCATATTTTCGGGAGTTATTCATAAGAAACTACGTTCCAAGCCGCCGCGAGGGATTGAAACGGTAAAATTAAAACTATTTCCTTCACTTCCTTAGCCCATGTTCTTAAAAATCAGGCTTCTAAAATAAATTCGGAGTGGAAAAATTCAAGAAAACCCCGGCAATAATTGATCTTGTCAAATGAAAAGAAATCAATTTCTCAATCATGCATTGATTGAGAAGGAAAAATTATTCGAGGTTAAATATGGGTTCAGCTGTAATTGAGAGGACTTTTAGAGGTTGAAGTCTGGCTGAATCGATGATACAGCAATGCAGTTTTTATAGTTTTATATTCAGTAAAATTCGTTGACGAAGATATTCTCTGTATAATCTACTCATCCAGCACATAAGAGGAATCTGCCGCTGATTGATTGACGCGGGAGAAGGTTAAATCTGGACTGGAAGTCCTTCATTGATTTGAAACCTCATCATTTCAAATCCAAACTGGATTAAAAAACGATGTCCTGACCTGTTCATTATAATTCGGTTTGCCCGTCCGCATTTGTATTCCTATAATGCACGGAAGCGTTAAAATGTATAAATTGCTATTGGGCGGAAAACTTGAAAATCTTGAATGAAAAACCCCGAAATTAAAAAAATTGAACATTATTTTTACGTGCCTCAGCATTTCTAGAATCGTGCTATATATAATCTCTTCGAAAAATTATTTAATGTGTAAACCAGCTATAGTTGTACAGTATATACCATTAGCGTAAATGGAACAGCAGCCCCCTATCTTGAAAATGACGAGCGAGATGATGAATTGTTTGGGGCATTTTTTGTTACGGACGTTTGTTCTGAAACCTTGATTTTGTTACTTTCATGCATGCGTCATCTTTTGTATTTTTTTGCATCTTTTTGCTGGTTATCTTTTTTAGTTTCCAGCGGAGTAGCTGTTTGAAGAAGAGCTTATGGTACTGTACTGTAATTCCTTTCCTGTTTCTGCAGTGTATTTACGTTATGACGCAGAAATAAATCTTGGTCACGCTCTGCTTTGCCGTCTGAATCACTGTACTGTATTTGTCCATGACCTTTGTAAATTGGTTTGTCGAAGTCTCCAAAAATTTCTTTGTCACCAGATCTTGGTAGAATTAATGAAGTTGAAAGTTAATCAATTGACCTGGTCGAATTAAGGTATAGTTTTGTAAATAAGTTAAAAACCTCCCGTTAATTACACTGTACATAATATCCGATTTTGAGCACGGGAAGTGTGAAGTTCATCCTCTGTCGCTTCCACTGATGGTCAATCCACTCATTGGACAGGTACAAATCCTCCGCGTGACTCCGTCGGCTTGCGCTGCAGCTAGTTTTCATTGTTGTAAAACAAGAAGCGTGACGATTGATTAAATTACCCCTGCCGGTGTTCGCCATCAAACGAAATAAGCTGTTCTCGTCACCCAGATTGTGGTCTTGAAATTCACCGAGTGTATCTTATTTCACTGTTCATCATGGACAGAGTGCATCGTGAATTTATCGCGAATTCTTTCAAATTTTAGTCTTGCAGGTTTCGTAAGTGTCCGTCGGCAAAATTGTTGTGCTCATATTATTGCTGTCGCTTGAACAGCAATAAGCATGAACCCAGAATCTTCAAGTAATTCGGATAAGCCGGATGAAGACTACACTGCGACGAATGGGAACGTTGCTTCCTCCAACAATGTTGAGCTTCCTCTGAAAGAGTTGTTCTCCCTGGGTGTTCGCTTCTTCAAAGGTGAATATCGAACGTGTGGCTGATTATCGTTGGCAACATCGGGCACTTCGACGTCTGTCTTGAGTTTTTTAGATGGTAGGAGTAACTTCATCGTTCAAGAAATGCCTGTGACAGATTTTCGCGTGAAAAATAATACCTTGTTTCTTCGTGATATTTGGAGGCAATGCCTTGGGTTTTTAAATGCGTTGGACCAAGTGACGATTGTTGAAATTGTGAGATCTGCCAGTGCATCATTCGTTCTGTTGGATGAGGAAATGCATCTATTTTCTCTGCATTTTCTTTTTCTTTTTCCGTAAATCTTAATGACAAAATTGCGCTTTCAAAGGAATATCGTCAAAATTACCATAGGATTCGCTGTAATGGACTCTGTTTTTCAGAGAAGAGCGGTGGTAAAGCAGCGACTCTGAGCTACGAAGAACGTGTGGCTCTGGTAGCTTACACTCAACAAGCAACCCACGGGAAATTCGATGAAAGTCGAGCCCAACCACTGGGTTATCTCGACGTCATCGGTCACGATCGTCGGAAATTCTGGAAGAACCTTGGTGACATGTCAAAGGAGGAAGCCATGGAGAAATTCGTGTCTCGACTCACTGAGGTGTCGCCAGTTTTCGTCGCATATGTCGAAGCACACAAGCGCGATAAAGAGAGCAAACTGAAATCAGAAGAAGATGCTGCCAAAGAGAAAGAACTTGCTGCTTTGCAAGCCGTGGAGAAGGAACGAGAGGTGCTGAAGCAAGAAGCTGAATCACGCCAGCAGGAAGAGCGGAAGTATGTTTCTCAATCGCCTGTGCTAGAATCTAATTTTGCAAGTCATTGACTGTGAAGCTCACCTATTTGCCTTCAATATAATATAACAAGTTTCCTAAACTTTAATGAAAGCCGTGTACTGTATTCTGGAGACTAACTTAATCTTTCATAGGAGGTTGATTCAAGACGCACTGAATGCCCAAACGTACCCACAATTCAAGGCGTACGCAGAACAACAGTACCCAGGCAATCCAGAGCAGCAAGCTGTTCTTATCAAGCAGCTTCAGCAGCAGCATTACATTCAGTACATGCAACAAATTTACCAACAACCAGAAGTAGAACGAAAGGAGGTTTCTAGTGAAGAGGAACCAGAAAGCAACGAAGGTGAAGAGGAAGGTGGTGATTATCCCAGATGGTCACCGGCAACTATGTGGACTCGCCACGATATAAAGGAATTCAAGGAAGGTGTGAGAAAAGAAGGCGGAGATTCTGTGATCAGAGTCGGACACGGTGAAACTGTTACTGTAAGTACCGATTTCTTTTTTTTTTCTTTAAAAAAAAGAAAATTGTTCGGAGACTGCGAAAAGGCGTATAAAATATTGTTCTTCAATTTGTGTTTGATTCGATGGGTAAAGTCACCGAAACGGACCTTCATTCATCTGTTTAACCAAGAAGTACAGTGTAAACCAAGCACCATGGGTCCACGCTTAACAAAACCAGTCCCTTCCTGGATGAAGGGACTGGTGAGTTCCGTCGTGTGAAACGCGTTTTCCCGGAAGTTTACTTTGTAATTATTTCCAACCACTCTCCAGAAGATCACAAAGAACCGTGGCATTTTTGTATTTTTTCATCAGAAAATTGTGAATTTAATATTTTTTAGCATGAAATTGAAGCAGTCATCGCTCATAACTTTCCGAATTTCTCAAATTTTTAATACAGGAAGAAACAAAACTCATTCTTTCCGTATTGCCCTCAATTCCTGTTGGAGAAATTCCGAAGCTTAAATTAAAATTGTATCGGAAGTTGAGCGTTTTTCGGACGAATTTTCAACAGTTTGTGAGTCACCTTCCTTCCCCAAAAATGTTCATCTTTCAAGGTTTTCGTTCTGCTGGGTTTCATTGTAGTTGGTGAGGCAACTTGAAGTCTTAGACGAAAAGTTAGCTGATACTGTGCGTGATTCTTACGAGGTTAAGGTATTTTGGTAAGTTGACGGATTCTTCCATAAATGGGCCAATGAAGTGATGGGCCGGGAAGGTTCACGTGTATTTCGTTTGGTTACCATCACAGAAGGTTTAAGCGAAGAAAGAAGTGGACAGATTTTGCAAGGAAGTGCCAGCTTGATTTTTTCAAGACTCCCCTCCCTGTTATTATTTATTCCACGACTTCAAAACCTCACCTATTCCGTTTCATGACGTAAACGTATTTTTTTGCAAACCGAAGGTCCGTGTACCTACGCACGAAGACGGCAACTGTCTATTCTGGGAATTCGCCACCGACTCTTACGATATCGGCTTCGGACTGTTTTTCGAGTGGGTCAAGTCTCCCACGGAGCAAGTCTCGGTGCACATTTCCGAGTCGGAGGACGAAGAAGAGGAAGAAATCGACGAAGATGATGACAATCCGGAAGCTGGTCGTAAAGCCAGTGCAGCCGACGAGCCGCCAACTACCGTACTCATCCCCGTGTATCGTCGCGACTGCCACGAAGAAGTGTACGTGGGTAGCCACGATTACCCGGGCCAGGGCGTGTATTTGCTTAAATTCGATAACGCCTACTCGTTATGGCGGTCTAAGACACTTTACTATCGCGTTTATTACACTCGGTGAAAAGTTTTTGAGGGTGCTGAGCTTCGTACCTACGTTTTCGGCCCTGTCTGGAACAAATCGTGTTTCGATGCGGGAATATTACGTTGAAAAACCATTCAATACAATTTTTTTTTTCGAGTCAAAGTGTGGAGCTTCTTGCATGATCCGTCCGTTTCATTTGAAGCATTAATGCCGAGTATTCAAAGTAACTTTTGACGTTCACGGATCTCTTATTCAGTGTCCGTTTGGATGGAACTTACTGGTGTTTGCGGAACACACTTATGGAAAATCTTTTCTTCCACTGTTGGCTAGAGAACATTCCCTGTCTTGCTGAGTTTAAGAGTGACTGATCGGAGTTCCTCCGGAAAATATTGGCTTTAAACTGGCGGAGTTTAAAAATATACTCAACATGGCACTTTTTGGACAATCGGGACAAGAAAACTAACATGTAAATTTTCGATTAAAGAACGCAGTGTCAAAAACCATTAGTTCGTCTCTCACGAAACTTTTTTTTCGGAATTCTCGACCCTGAATTTCTAGTTCGGCTATTGAAAACTTGGCGGGGCTGAGGAAAAGAACGTTGTGGCGACAAAGTCGTTTTCGCGAACATTTTTCTTTATTGTTGGTGTCAACCGTTGTGCTGCCGGAATTGTGAAGATTTCGTGGGAACGGACATTTTTTGCGAGTGATTTCTCTTTGTCTTGCGAGTCGCCAAGACCTTCTCATCAGTTGCAGATGATACTTCGCTTGATTTCCCGCAATTTTTCGTTTTTGATGACTATTACAGTTCTGTATTTGAATTAAGTGAAGATGACCCGCGAGTAGAAATTTTCTTGTTTGCTTATGGTTAGAATCCTCATTTTTGGCCTGGCGTTTTCCGAAGACTACCGGCACTGTTGAAGGTGTTCTGGGCTAATCATCTTCGACTGCTGCATTCTGAGCCACCGCATCATCAGTAGATCCCGAATTGACGCCCTATTTGTTAGATCTTCGACCTCATTCGCACACGAGGGTTCTCAAATGTATGTTGAAGAAGACGGTTAAAAAAGGTCGAGCTGGGAATTCTCCGAATAGTCGTGCAAAAGAAACTGATCTACTTATCGATTTATCGGCAGGAATACTGTACTTTGTTTGGTGATGAATTCAATTATTTTTCACGCTAATCTGGGTGGAATGCGATGGATTTCTGTAATGTGAAGTATTTAGTAAGAATCAAGAGAAGGTGACCGGGCTCAATCCGCGTCGTATGAGGTCGTGTGTGCTCGATTCGCAGGACATCCGAGAAATCTCTCGTTTTACGGCATTCGAAATTTGGCCTGTTCCGGAAAAACTTTTCTGACCAGATTGTTGCATTTTGCGCAGGAGTCCCTTCTTAATGTCGCATCAGTGTGGTGGCACAAAATTGTCGTGTTTTTCTTGGTCGTGTTTGAAATTGCTGTGACAAATTAGCATGATGGAGCAAGTATGAGCACTTGAGGTTTTTTTTTTTTTTCGGAGATGGAGAAGACTCGATTTAGTCATGACGTTTGTCGATTCACCGCGTGGGTGCTTCCTGATTGAGTGGGAATATGCAGAAGCCTATTTATTTTCGAGGATAAGTGAATGTGTTCATTTTATTCCCAAATTGTGTTGAAAATATTTTCGTTTTCTTCATTACTTGGGGAAGATTTCTTCTTGTGCTTGAAAGGTATTCTTGCGCGTTCCTGCGATGTCGTTGCGTACAACGCTTGTTGGGGCCGCAGTTGGAAAGCTTTCGGAAGCCGAAGCTGCATGGCGTTCTTTGAATGGGATGTTCTGCGTTTACAAACCCGCTGGAATCACTAGGAAAGGAGCTGCTAGTATCTTGTCAAATAAGTTGGCTGCAAGTTTGAATCGCATGGAGGTGAGAGGTCTGGAGCTGAGTTTTTTTGTCAAAGCTTTTTCACCGTTTCGTGTGAATTGTGCCTCTTCTAGGGCGGAGTAAATATTGAGGCATCTTCTTGACATCGATGTTATTCGGGTAGATACAGTATTGGAAAATTTTGGTGAGCAGGAANTAATTCATTAATTACAGTGCTTATAAAAAGGATTTTTGCTCTGCAGGTCCCGCAATATCCCATTATTTCTAATTATCACCGATCTAAGTTTTTCTGAACGTATCACGATTTTTCGTTCTTTTTTCGAAGTTACATTCTTGATTCCTGTTCACCGAAAGTGTTAATTGCCTCAGTGCCATACTCTAAGGGTGTTCAGGATTTTTTTTTTCGCACATTTTCCCATATTCGTCGATGAAATTTATGTTCATATTCCTCTAAGCACAAGTTTGAAGTGCGCAGTTCTGCTTTTATTTTCATAACATGGAACGTATTTATTCATAGAAACTTTCGGAACTAGCTATGAAAATCAACTCCTTGGTATTGTATTTGATAGATATTTATTGGTAAATTTAATGATGTTATTTCCCGAACTATTTTGTTACTTATTGCTCATTTCTTCTGTGTTCGTAGAAATTGCACCAAAACAAAATTTGAAATAATTTCCATGCCAATATTACCTGATGATTTTTCTCGATTGGATTTATTATGGAAAATTAAAATCCGTGCAGCGTAAACTGCACACTACTGTATAGTTCTTATTTAGGCTTTAATACGTATCGCTTTTCTAATATAAATTATGAAGATCTTTGATCCTTCGCGGTTGAGATTTGTTCGGTTTCCGCATTTACATCTCTTTTCTTCAAAATCCACAGCAGCCGATTCTAATTATACGTACTTATTCAAATAATTGAAACGAACTGCGCCTCTCTGCTTTTTCAGTTTCTTTTTCTGAATTATTTTCAAAATCGCGTTAAAATTGTCCGGTACTCCGTAGATTTCCGTCATTCAAACACAGCTTTCTTTCTTCAGGTCCGTCCACCAAGGCGGAGAGTTCAGATTGAAAATGAAAATGGACAGCTAGTGGTAACATCGGTGCCTTCCTACGCGGATCACCCTCTGGTTGTTGGCGAGAGGTACATCAAGAAGGATGTCGAAGTCGAGTGCTGTGATACCCTGGACCTTGACTGGTCCGGAGTCACCGTTTGGCGGGTGGGGCATAGTGAGTAAACGGGATACTAAGCTTGTTGTATTTAGGGCGATTGCATGGACCAGCTTACATAAACTGTTGAGTCGATAAATGCCTTCGTTGTCGCGTGATGACATCTTGCATCAGACAGCATTACTGTTTTACACGATTTCTTTAGCAGCCGTCTTTTTCCGAGTAACGAGAATGTTCCGGTCCTGACTGTCCTTGCATTCGCTGTTCTTCAACAATATTTTCTCTGAGGCGGTCAATTTTTGTTTACTGAGTATTGTTGGAGAATAGATGTGGGGATTTACAATTTCTGTCGACATTTTTGCTAGTACAGTATTGGACTCATGCATGCACGCATAGGTCGAGTTCATGAGAAATACCTGTATTGATCTATTTTCAAGATGGACTGCGATTTAATTGTAATGCATAAATATGCTTTGTAGTAGGGGAAAATAATTAGCTCGAACTTTTGCTTGAGGTTCAGAGAATTAATTTCTACTCTCGTCATCCACGAGGAATAGCGATGCTTCATACCGTATATCCTTCCGTTGAACTGCAATACTAGAGTACAATATACAGTATCAGATTAATATATCGCATCGATTCCCTTCCAGTAAACTGTGAACAGCGGTTATTTTCCCCTTCTTAGTGTACCCAATTTTATAAGTAATTTCGTGCTTATAAAATCTTAATTTAATTTATTCCTACGTTCTTCTACCTATCGTGCATGCAATAAATCATGTTACTGGAGGGTATTTGGTTCTCTTATTTACCTTTCATTAGTTTTTTTATCGTGAAGTTCATGACCGTGCGATATCAACCGTTTCCGTTGAGCGTATTGAATGATTTAAAAAAATTACAGTACAGTATATTCATTATTAAAAAAAATTGTAAGTCGCGTTTGGTTGAATTCTTTCTTCGTCTGTGAATTGTGAAGATGAGGAAGAAACCTAGAAATATGCGGGAAGTCACAGGTGTGGCATAAATATTTTCACGAACTTCAGAAAAATCTCACGTAGTCTTTTGAATTCCACGCAGGTAAGAAATTCAAAGCGTTCCAGGCATCCAATCCCATCAGCAGTTACGCCATCCAAGCCTGTCTCGGCAAGGCAACAGACAATTTTTTCTCCAGCGGCAAAGTCGTCGAGAAAGCATCTTTCAAACACGTGGAAAAGGCGCGATTCTCCAAGTACATATCTTCCATAGTGGCGCGACACCAGAAGCAAGCCTACGCCTACTCCGGTGTTCATCCGGATTCAAAAGCAGCCTACGAGTTGGCAAAAACTGGACTCGTTCGTCCTTCCGGAAACACGCCGTTCCTCATTTACGGGCTGTCTTTGACTCATTTCAAGCCGCCGGATTTTACGCTGGAGCTGCATTGTGTCGGAGATTCGTCCGATGATGTGCATGGCTTAGTTCACGAGATGGCGTTGGACTTGAAAACGGTGGCGCACACTTGTGCGGTGCGGAGATTTCGGTATGGGCCTTTTGATCTGAAACACGCGCTGTTGAAAAAGCACTGGTCAGTGGAATATGTTCTGGAGAATATTAATGAGCTATCTGAGATTGTTGATAGAGACGATTTCATACCCGAGCAGCCATGGTTCAAGGAAGCTGATGCAGTATAGTCCGACAAGAATAAATCCGTTTGTTATGATCCAGCGTGTTTTTTATTCATCTTGAGTGATTTTGAGTTCGAAATGCCAAATGTGTTCTGTGTGTGTTAATTGTTCCGTATTATTGAATACACTCATAGACGCATGGTTTTTCTTGGTTCGGTCTAATTCAAGTATAATTTAGTGGTTTCAAAGCTTTTGTCGCCATTCGTGGCTGTGAGGCTCATTAAAAAAATTAATACTCGTTCAAAACTTGGCAGGCGTATGTCTTTAATGTTACTGGCCATTAACGCATATGTAGTATGATCTTCATTTTACTCACCTGTGCTCTACTAGTCTACTCCACTAAGTAAACTGTACAGCTATGACTGATATGATGACTAGGCTATCTCTTCTGAAAAGGAACAGATGACAAAAATTGCATCCCACATCCTACAGTTGACCCATAGTAAAATATTACGCATGTTACTTCTATTCTTGGCACAGTGAACTGTAGCCCAGGGTATGCACATGCTGGCCCTTTTATGGTAATGGAAGCGGAGAGGAATTTTTCCCGCCAATTTGAAATAATGAGGCGGATGCAAAGTGGCGGTTACACTCTTTCTTTTGAAAATTTCAAGAAAATTCGGGGATGTTTTTTTGAAGACAGAGCCATTTGCTTTGGTGATTTTCATCAGACTTAATTACTGTATTTATGAGGAGCAAAAATGCTGGAGTGTGCTGCATATCCCTAAATTGAGCTTTTTCAATCTACAATGAATGAACAAGTTTCTTCTCTAGCTCGAATTGCGAAGTTGTGCCCTAGTACTGGACGTGATCCAGTCTAGCAAGAATCAAGTTTATGAGCAGAACTGCTTCCAGTCTAGTAGGCAGAATTGTGGCCACAGTCAAGCAGATTTTCTCCAGTACTGTATATGTTTCGTAAAACATGTGTGTCCGGTACGACAGTCTGATCTTCGAGAGGAGTGGCGGACGCGCGCAAGCTTTTAGGGTAGTGCTACATTACTCATGTGGAATTCGCTGTTCCAGCAAGGTTAACTGGTGTTTCGACGTGGTCCTCTTCGTCTAGGCGATAACTAGGTTATCATATTGAATCTCTGTTGTCGAGGAGCAGTCCGTCTTATTCGTGATAGAGGGATTTTGAAAGTTGGTGCCAGATACGCAAGCGAGTTGAAGTTAAACGATTTTGCATCAGAGTGTGATTGGATCTATGTCTAATTTATCCTTCCTTGTGATCTCCGTAGGTTATTTCATTTTAATCCCTGTTACTCTCTGCAATTCGTAAGTGTCACGCTGTGATAAGGATATGGCAAATCCCGAAACTCCTGGGTAAGACCTTCTATGACTTCAGCTCATAGGAAATCAGTTGATCAGTTTTTATCTTCGTCTAGAAAAGAGGAGGTGGAAGCTGGCGACGGGTTTGTTGAAGATGTGGACGATACCGATGATGCCGAAGGAGATGCCAAGCGTGAGTACACACATAGTTCACGCTGAAGTTTTGTTGACTGACGAAGTCGTGGTTTTCTTAGTAGCGTGCCTGAATGATGTGCTGAAAGATCCAACGATGTTGGCCGCCATGCAAGCTAAAATCCGTTCAGAAGATCATGCAGCAGCTCATGCAGTGTTCATGCAATCGCTTCCTTCATCCGTAAAACGACGCATTCATGCCCTCAAAAAGCTGCAGCTGGCTTCTGCGAAAGTGGAGGCCGACTTTTATAAAGAAGTTCATACGCTGGAGGTGAAATATTTGGAATTGTACAAAGACCAGTACGAGAAGCGAGCAAAAATTGTCAACTCCGAATATGAACCTAATGACGATGAATGCGAGTGGCCCTCGGATGATGAAGAGGAGAATGCCAAGAGCGAAGCTGATCAAGCGAAAGATAAATCAAAAAGTGAAGCGAAGGCGGAAGGTGATGCTGGCGCTGATATCAAGGGCATTCCGGATTTCTGGCTTACTATCTTCAAGAACGTGGAGATGTTGAGCGAAATGGTTCAAGAGCATGACGAACCTGTTTTGAAGCACCTTTCAGACATCAAAGTGAAGCTCACGCAAGAGCCCATGGTAAGTTGATCATAATGACCATTGCATACCTTAATCGAAGACGCTATCTCGTACGGTACAGGATGCATTATAATCTCATTACTTCTGGAATTCAAAGCAAGTTTATCTGACAGCGAGAGCTTAATCGTCTCATCCAGAAGTCTCCGTGCATGGCTTCATTTCCGGTTATTTTGACATAATAAATTCTTTTTACGAGAGGGTTGCATACTGCGTGAAGCTTGTTCAAGTCTTTTTAGAGTCATCATTGGCTTGTGAATCTAAGATGCTACTGATTTTTATTTCTTTGATTTCAGTGCGAATTTTCTTGGATGAAATTGAGTTCTAGAATGGTATTTGTTCGTCCTTGAAGTGCATGGTTTAACTGATTTCGAAAATTTTGCAGGGTTTCGAGCTCGAGTTTTTCTTCACACCGAACGAATACTTCAACAACTCCGTTCTTACCAAGAAATACGAGTTCAAATGTGAGCCAGATCAAGATGACCCGTTCAGTTTCGAAGGGCCGGAAATTGTCCGTTGTCACGGCTGCAAGATCGACTGGAAGAAGGACAAGAACGTGACCGTTCGAATCGTCAAAAAGAAGCAGAAGCACAAAGGCCACGGGGGTGTTCGAGTCGTACCGAAGACCGTTCCTAACGACTCGTTCTTCAACTTTTTCGATCCCCCAGTTCGTACGTACTCAAAATACTGGATTCAAATCCATGAAAGAGTACTAATTTTTTTTTTATCATCAATAGTGAAGGAAGATGAAGAAGAACAAGACGAAGATCTACAACAAATTCTCACGGCTGATTTTGAACTCGGCCATTTCATCCGTGAACGTATCGTCCCGCGTGCTATTTTGTATTATACGGGAGAAGCTCTTGATGAGGATGAAGATGATGATGTGAGTACCATACAACTCATCTATACTTGTCTATTTTCTCGTTCGCTAACGGTGTTTTCTTCACTACTGCGTCCTGAGTTTTGGATGGTTCAGAAGAGTTGTGGACCCCTTGATTGACAACCGGGGATTTGTGAACTAGTCAGTCGGGGGCTGAAAATGTGATTGATCAAATGTCCAGAGCTTCGTGAAATTGCGTTTAGCTAGGTCTTACTGCATTTTGGCTACATAGGCTTGTATGCTTATGAGAATTCAAATTTGACTTCAGTGTAATGAGGGATGAGTTGGAACTTCTGAACATTATCGACGGAAACTTATGGTCACAAAGACGCGAGGATCAGATGAATCTGAATTTTCGACTTCTGGATTACTGATTTACTCTGATCAGCTTCTATGTTCATTCATTTGCAAAGAAGTATTCGTAAACTTTTGCTAGATCGTGCCACGAGGCTTCCATGTCTCCGTGTGGTATAGCAAGCATTTGTTAGTTACGAGTACTGTACTGTAATTCCAGAAGGATTTTACTCGCGTAGTCATCTCAACTCGATTTCTTCTGAATCAATTCATGAAATTTTGCTGTTTTTATTTCTCAGTTCGAGGATGAAGACGACGAGGATGAGGATGATGAAGACGGGGAGGACGAGGATGATGAGCCCCCAGTTACGTCTCGGTCGAAGCGCCGTCATTGAGAGAAGGATCGCGCCCTGTCGTAATGAGTCACGTTTGAAATGAAGAGACAGCGTTTCGCTAGCTTTATTTCCGTTCCTTCGTTCGTACGTCTTGCTGGTGTCGGGCAAACAACTCTTCTGTGCGAGTCTCTTTACTGCGATCCTGAAAATGCAAGATGATGAGAGACAAAGTCTGCATTATATTTTTTCCGTGCCTGTTTTTCTCGTAATATATCGTTAACGTCAGGTTGATGCCGTTGTTGTTTCTGATCAGGTTCGGAAATGAGCTGTGTTGTCGTGGAAGTTTCTAGGAATGGAATTCTATGTTTTGGACACGAGGGCATTCTACGCCGGCGTGCAGAGGACATGTTGCTACGTGTAAGGCAGCCGTTA